GACCCATTCTGGCAATCTACTTCTTTTGATTGTTGAATCAAGACCATAAACATTGATAGTTATAAGTGATATGTGTTGACTTATCCTTGTCATGACTTTTTCTTTTTGTTGGAATCTCCCCCTTTGCATTGAAATTCTTGTCATGCCTGATGTATTCCTTCTGTTAGGCTTGCTGGGGTTTTTATCCTCACTGTCATTTCCTAGGGTATTTTAAAAAATTTTTTGGAGTGCTGGTTTGTTATTCATGAAGTTCCTAAAGTGTTCTTTGTGATGAAAGTATCTTATTTTTCCATCAATTTTGAAAAATAGTTTTTCAGGGTATATCAGTTTGGGTTGAAGGTTGTTTTCCTTTAAGGCTTGAAATATGTCACTCCATGCTCTTCTTGCCTTCTGGGTTTGTGTTGAGAAGTCTGCTTTGATTCTGATGGTCTTTCCTTTGTATGCAATTTGTTTCTTTTCTCTAATTTCTTGTAGAATTTTGCTCTACTCTAGGGTTTCTGGAATCTTAACTAATATATGCCTATGTGTAGATTTTTTTTTTATCATGGCTATTTGGATTCCTATATGCCTCACTTATCTGTATGTCAAATTGTTTTCTGCCATTGCTTCTGTGGACAGTTTTTTTTATGTCATCTGCACTCTCTCCTGTTCCTTCACTGACTCCAGGCAGTCTTATAATATTCTTCTTTGCATTGTCTAGCAGTGGTTGGATTAATTTTTCATGGTCCCTTATTTTTTGTTGTTGTTTTTTTGATACCAGGGATTGAACTCGGGTCCTTGTGCTTGCAAGGCAGGCAGCAGAACCATTGAGCTAAATCTCTGGCAGTCCCTTACTATTTTTAAGAAATTTTTCCTGTTCACTAATTGTAATCCTATCTTCTATATCTGCAATCTTTGTATTGGCTCATTCTACTGCATAAACTTTCAACAGAGTTGTTTGTTTTTTTTTCCAAGCAGAGTTTTTAATCTCCTGGAAATGTATTTTCATCTTTTTATGGATTCCATTTGTTTCCTATGTTGAGATTTGGTCGTGTTCCTCAGTTCCTCTATTTTTTTTTATCTGTGTCCACTCTAGATTTATTAATTATATCTTGCACTATGGGTACAATCTCTTCTGTAATCTGAGCAATTATTTGTGATTTCATTTTTTCAAATCCTCTTTTGTTGCCAGTTCAGGGAGTCTAGGTGGTTGAGTATCAGATTGTTCCTTCTCGTTTCCCTTTGGGGTTGCCTTAGGTGATCTGGAAATCTGGTTTGGGGACTTGTTTCTGTGTCTTCTTATTTCAACAAATGCATCCTGCTGTGCCTTTATTGAGACAACTTTTTGCTCACCCACTGGTCTTCGATTCTCACCAAGCCACCAAGAGGCCTTTGCTCTGTTGCTCACCAGTACACCAATTCCTGGATTCAACGCACAGATGCTATGTGGCAGGCCTTTGACTGAAGCTTGTGCATTTGTGCTGCTTTTTCCTGGGCAGGCCTTGGCTGGACTGGCTTGCCCAAGCCTCTGGGCCAGGGTGTATCCCTGGCTGGAATCTGCCTGCAGCCCTGTTGGTCTGGACCACACCTCTGGTCCCAGGGATTTTCACACACTCATTGATGTTATAGGGTGGGCCTCTGAGTGAAACTTTTGCACCTCTGCAGCTATTTCCTTGGCAGGCCTAGGCTAGATGGATGGGCTTGCCAAAGCTTCTTAGCATGGGGCCGATCCCTAGCTGGGATCTGCCTGCAACTGTGCTAGTCTGGACCATACTGCTGATCCCAGGGATTTGAGAAACTCACATATGCTATGGGGTAGACCTATGCAGCTCTTTTCTAGGCAGGCCTAGGCTAGGCAGGTTTGCCCCAACCTCTGAGGTCAGGGCAGATCCCTGACTGGTATCTGCCTGCAGCCACACTGGTCTGGAACACACCTCACAGGTAAGGTCCTTCTATACCTATTTTCATCAGGGTATTTTAAAATCATGAGTGGATGTCAGATTTTGTCAGTGGCCTCTTATATATCTATTGAAATGATCTTGTGATTTTATCCTTATGCCTATTTATGTGGTGCATTATATTTAATGATTTATGTATATTGAACCATCCTTACATCCTTGCAATTAAGCTGTTCTGGTCATGATTTATGATCTTTTTTAAATGATTTTGTGCATTCTATTTGTGAGTATCTTCTTGAGGACTTTTGCATCTGTATTCATTAAGTAAATTGACCTCTATTATTCTTTTTAGGATCAAAGCCTAATTGACCTTCTCTGTGACTACAGGAGAAAAAACAACAGGCTGTGTGCCTCATTTACCAACATGTAGGCATAGTAGCATATTGCAAGTCCTAGAGAAGAGACTATATAACTGAGATCTGGTTGTTTACCTGGGTATATGCTATAGATAACAGGAAGCAGGTGAATCGAATCCTCTATTATCCTGATTGCTTGTTTATTGGAATATAAGCTCTCAAAATAGTTTCTTATAGTCCTCTGCATTTTGGCAGTGCCTGATTTTGCTTTTTTCATTTTTAATTGTATTGATATGAGTCTTTTCTTTTGCTAAGTTTGGCTAAGATTTGTTACTCTTATTTATGCTTTAAGGGGACTGTTTGATTCACTGATTTTTTTGTATATTTTTAAATCTCAATTTCATTAATTTCTGTGCTGAGCTTTTTAATTTCTTTCCTTGCACAAGTTTTGGATTTGGATTGCTCATGTTTTTATAGGACTCTGACATGCATAATTAGTTATTTTTTTAAATTTGGGATCACTCATTTTCTGATATGGCCATTCATAGCTATAAACTTCCCTCTTAGAACTGCTTTCATTGTCTCCCATAGGTTTTGGTATGTTGTCTTAGCGTCATTTGATTCTAGGAATTTTAAATTTCTTCCTCAATTGCTTTTGTAACCCATTTGCTTTTCAAGGATTTATTATTTAATCTACATGTATTCCCATAGATTCTTCTGCTAGTTTCATTATGCCATGATCACATAGTATACAGGAGATTATTTCAGTTCTTTTGTATTTATGTAGTGTGTTGTATGGCCTAAGATGTGATCTGTTTTGGAAAAAAGTCCATGTACTTCTGAGGAAAACATGTGTTTTCTGTTATTATTGGAGTAAACATTCTGTAGATATCATTAGTTTGATGATGTGGTTCAACTCTGATATTTGTTTGTTGACTTTTTTGTCCAGTTGATTTTTTTTTAGAATGGGGTGATGAAGTTTCCATTGTCTCTGTCCCTTCTTGTATGTCCAGTAGTTATTGTTTTATGAAATTGGGTGTCCCAACATTTGGCACATATATTTTTACAATTATTATCCCTTCCTGTTGAATTATTCCCTCTATCAGTATATAGTGACCTTCTTTGTCTGTCTGATCAGTTTTTGGTTGAAGTCTCCTTTGCCTGAAAATAAGATAGCTGCTACTTCTTGCTTTTGGGTATCCTGTTGCAGGGGGCATCATTTCTATCCATTCACTTTCAATCTGTGTGTTCTTTTGTGGAAGAGGTATGTCTTTTGAAGGCAATATATAGTTGAGTTTTGAGTTTTCATCCAGTCTGCTGGTCTGTGTCTCTTTATTAGGAAGTGATGACCATTGGAAGTTACTATTGATAGGCATTTCCTGAACCCTGTTGTTGAATTAAATTTTCAGTGCTAATTCCTGTATTTTTCCTATTGTTTAATTAATATACAAGTTAGATATATTCTTTCCTTTGAGTTCTTTAGTGATGTTGACTTTGCTTTTTCTGTCTAGGATTCTCTTGAGTACTTTTTGTAGTACTGGTTTTGTAGTCATGAATTTTTTTCTATTCTCTTTGTTGTGAAAAGTCTTAATTTCTCCACAACTTTTGAAAGATAATTCTGCAGGATATGGTAATCTAGATTGGCAATTTTTTTTCTTTTAAGGCTTGAAAAACTTCACTCCAAGATCTCTTGGTCTTTAAGGTTTGTGTTTAAAAAAATCTGTTGTGCTAATAAGCTTTGCTTTATAAGTTACTTGATTTTCTTTCTAACAGATTTTAGTATTCCTGTGTTGAATTTCTAGGAGTTTGACTGTGATGTGTTGTGGTGAAGTTCTTTCTGTTTGTGGTTATTTGTGCTTTTATGTGCTTTGTTTACCTGGATACTCATTTCTTTCCCTAAATTTGGAATCATTTGTGCTATGACCTTGGCAAATACAATTTTTATACATTTAATGTCATCTTCTAACCTTTCTTTAACTCTTATAATTTTTAGTTTTGTGATTTTTAAAGTAATGTAGCAGCTGTTGGATCTAGCTTTCCTTGTGTCTTGATTTTCAGATATCACCGAGTACATGATTTACTACATTAACCTTGTCTTCATGTCCGAGCAGTCTCTTTTCAGATTGGTCATACCTGATGCCCATATTTTCAATGGAGTTTTTGTATTTAGGATTTGTACTTGATTCCTTTTTATAATTTCTGATTCTTTACTAAAGTGGTCATGTATATTTTGCATTGTTTCCTCTAATTCAGTAAACTTTTTTGTTTGTGTATTCTTTAAGCTGGTGGAACAACTGTAATTTACATTCTCTTTGAGCTCATTGAACATCTTATATATCGCTAACTCTTTTCACTTGATTTCTACCACTCCCTGAGAGGTAGACAGTGCTAGCCTCATGTTACAGTGAGGATACCAAGGTTCAGATGGTGTGTCCATCATGTTACAGTAAGGGTACTATGGCTCAGAAAAGAGTTGACTTGCCTAAGATCTCCCTGGCAGTAAATAGAAAATTTGGGACTGATGTTGCTGTCTGTTCTACTTCTTTTTACCACACTAAGGAGTGCCAGGTCTTATGCCATAAAATGGGAGGAGATATCTAAACACTTGCTGGTAGTAAGAATGATTGAGAAAATTCCCCCAATTCCTTTAATCATTTTCATATTCACATGGCAGATACTACATGTAATGCTGGCAGGTACCAGTTGGTAGGCAGTATGAGGAGATATATAACTTACTCTAATTGTCATATTTCTTACTATTCCACAGATTTATTCAGGTCCACCTGAGGAAAGTGCTGCACCCCCAGTGCCTCCACCTCGAGTGGCAGCAAGAAGGCACAAACCAATCACAATTTCGAAGCGTTTGTTGCGAGAAAGGACCATATTCTATACTTCTTCCATGGATGAAAGTGAAGGTCAGTATTGAAGTTCAACCTTAACTTCTAAATCAAGAATAGACATAAAGAGGACATTGAAAGGGTGGAGTAAGGTATGGTCATTTGTCTCTGTACAAAAGTAGACTTTTCTTAGCTCCCGGGCTTAAAAGCAGCTAAGAGAATCAAGGCTTATAGTTAGCACCCAGAGAGGGTATTAATTCTTTGTCAATGGATAGGATATGAATGAGTTTGTAAAAGAAGTTAGCATGATGCCTAATAGGGGCAGTGGAGAATCCAAGATGTTCTTAGATCTGTGCCCCCTTAAGGTGCCTTTTGAATGTTCTGAGATTTTAAACTCAAATGGAGCTAATATAGATTAAATAACTTCTATGTTCTAGGTACTGTACTATATGCTAGGTGAAATTATGACATATTCCCTAGTCTCAAGGAGCTTCCAGGATAAAGGAGACATAGATATATGAATAAATATGTTCCATTCAATGGAAAAATTGCTAGTATGAAGATTGTACCCTTTGTTCATGAGCCTATGCCCCCACTACTCCATTGAAACTACTTTTGTGAAGGTTGCCAATAATCTCCATGTGGCCAAACCTAGAAATCAAACCACTATTTTCATCATACCCAGCTTATGATCCGCATTTGACACACTGCCTAACTCTTTTCTTAAAAGACTAAATTTGGCTTTCAGAACAACAAACTCTCCTTTTATCTCACTAGACATTACATCTCAGTTTCCTCTACTAGTTGTCCTTGTTTTCCCATCTTCTCCATGTTGGAGTAGGCCTGAGCTTCTCTCTGTTATTTTCCTATGTGATCTCAATCTCTGTTTTAAATGTCATTTAAGGGCCAAGGATTTAGCTCAGTGGTGCTGCCATCTGCCTTGAAAGTTCAAGGTTCCAAGTTTGATCCCCAGTACAAAAAAAAAAATGTCATTTGAGTGCTTAAGATGATTTTCAGATTTCTATACGTAGGAACTAGCAGCACCAGTCACCTGATTGCTGTGGCCTAGAACTTCAAAATCATCCTTGATTAGTTTTCCTTTTTCCCTTACATCTGATTGATCAATACTTTCTATCATCTCTAACTGCACATTAATTTTGGTGAGTAAATCTTTTTATTTCTCACTGCTGCCCTCTTGGCTGAGCCCTTATAATTGCTCACCTGGTATCTTTGCTTGCCTTCTTGCCTGCCTCCAATCCATTCTCCACAGCAGGATGTGAAATGTACATCCTTCTGAAAATATTGAGATATATTATGTGTATGTACCAACTTCCATGAGGAAGGTGATCATTGTGTACTGCAAACATATACTAATAAAATAATAGAGAAAAAATTAAAATGTAAGTCACATCCCGTCATTCCCTCTGCTCTAAACTTTTATTGACTTCTCTTCGTGTTGAGAATATAACTTACATTTATGCAGCATTATATAACCCTTCCTTATGTTTTTGATCTTAATTTATGCACTTCATGGTTTTATCATAGCTTTTGGTTTGTCTGCTGTAATCACATTGGTCTTGATGTTACCTGTAGGTGTCAATCTTACCAAACAGCTTTTGTATTTGCTGTTCTCTTGGTCCCATATATTGTTCCTCTAGAACTTCACAAGGATCGCTCCTTCATTCAGATCTTGGCAAAGTGCCATTTCCTGATAAACAGCTTCTTTGAGCAATCTAAATAGTTCTTTCTTCTCCTCCAATCATTGCCTATCTCTATGCACTGCTTTATTTTATTCATATCACTTTCTGCAATCATTGACATACTATTATCTGTCTTGTTTATTAGAATGTAAAATCTATTTCATCACCTTTCCTTAGAAAAATTTCCACTATGCATTTATAGAATGAATGTATAAGGAATGATGAAGAGCAAAGGATTATCTAGCTTAAGGGATCACTTTTCTCATGGAGATTGTGAGCTGTCATCCAGGAGAAAATACAGGGGAACATTGACTGCCTACTGTGTTGTTTCATAATCTCTTTTGCTTGCTCTTGTTTTGTTTTGTTTTTGGTACTAATAGAGATTGAACCCAGGGCTTTCACACTAAAATACAACTCCAGCCCTTTTAAAATTTTGAGATAGAGTCTAGCTATGTTGCCCAGCTAAGCTTGAACTTGTGATCCTCCTGCCTCAGCTTCCCTGAGTGCTGGGATTACATATGTGCATGCCTGACTAACAATCAAATTTTTATGGAGTAAATGTGTTTGTTTAAAGTCTTCCCAAATATAAAGTCTATACCTGCAAAAACAGTTTTTCCTCACAGTATTCTTAGTACCAGCACAGTACCTGGTACTGTGTAAGTATTCAATAAATGAGTATAATAAATGGATGAATTGGGTGTCAATAGACCTAAGGTCTAATTTCATCTTGCACTAGCCTTTTGACTAATGTGAGCTATCTACTTTTCCTCTCTGCCTCTCAGTGAGCCTCTCTGTATGATTTGTGCCAGAAGATCTACAGTGAGCTCACCCAGTATTGACATTTCTTTTTTAACATTTTTAGATTGAAATATAATTTATATACCATAGGATTTACCCTTTTAAATTGCACAGCTTAGTAGCTTTAGTATATGTTGTACAAACATTGTTTTCCATTACTCCAAACAGAAACCCATACCTTCCAATAACCTGCTTCCCCAGCCCTTGAAAATTACTAATCTACTCTTTGTCTCTAAAACTTTGACTAATCTGGATATTTCATATAAATGGTGCTTTTGTTATTTTTTCTTTATGAAGTACCATAGTCTAAACTCAAGGCCTTCACACTGATCTATGTTCCCTATCCCTTTTTATTTATTTATTTTTTGTTTTTTTAAATTTGAGATGGAGTTTCACTAAGTTGCCAACTTTCCCAGGCTGATCTCTAATTTGCAATCCTCCTGTCTCAGCCTCTCAGAGTGCTGGCCCTTTTTGTGGATGGCAAATTATCTAACTAATAATGTATTTAAGGTTCATCCATATTGTACCGCATATCCGTATTATTGCCAAATAATAGCCGAGTATATGGGTATATTATATTTTGTTTAATCATTCATCATTTGATGAAAATTTTAGGTGTATTCAAATTTTGGCTGCTATGAATAATGCTGCTGTGAACATTCATGCACAGCATTTTGTGTGAATGTTTTCAATTGTCTTAACTGTGTACTAAAACCCCTGTTCTGTGATCGCTCTATATTTAAACTTGTAAAAACTTTTAAAGAATGACCGTGTTCTTTTCTAAAGGAGGTAAATCATTTTGATTTGTCACCAGCAATGGATGACAATTCTAATTTCACCATATCTTTGTTAATACTTGTTATAGTTTGACTTTTTTGATTCTTGCCATCCTAAGTGGGTGTGAATCCATAATCTCCTTTAATCCTTGGCATTCCTATGTGAGACAGGTATGAGGCTCTATTTTATAGTGAAGATATTGGAAGCCCAGAGAGGATGAATATTTTGCCCAATTAATACAGCTGCTAAATGACAGAACAGCAATTTGTACCGTTAGCCCAAAGCTCATTTACAATGTTATACATTGTTATACAATTTTTACAAAGCTATTATAATGTTATATTTCCTATAACCTGTCTGAATACTGTTCTAAGAAGGAAGCACTCCTCTACTCACCACTGTTCTTTACCTGCAGCACCTCCTTATCTTACTCCAAACTTATAATTCTGTTTCAAAATAGTATTTCAGTGATTCCTTCCACCACAGTCATGGACCTCTTCTAAGGTCCATATCTAAGCTCTGGCCATTCTATCTCTTCAGCATCTCTTGAATCTGTCTCTCTTTGCGAGTGCTGTTCCAGTTCAGATCTTTCTCATTAACATTCTTATAGCTGATATTCCTGTCTCCAGTCTCTCTGGTCCAGTCTGCTTTTCATAATGAACCAATAAGCTATTCTAAAAACAAATATTTTCCAAAGCTATTTCTCTGCCTAGAGATAGTTTGTATTCCCAAGTGTGGCTTTCATAGCCTTAATGATAACACCTCCAACTTTTCTTAAAAACCTCATCTCCAGCTGCTCACACATTTTCTCTCAAATGTTCAAGCCAAATTAGACTTTTTTTTTTTTTTTTTTTTT